CCTAAAGATAAAGTACTATACATTTTCAATAAGAACATTTTAAAATCTAGTTGTTGAAATTGTTAATTAGCCACTGCAGTTATTGGGTTTCGCAGTTTAAACTGCACTGTGTCACTGTAATCTCCATGCTATAAATCACAAAAAAAAAAGTTTGCTCTTATGGGGCCATTCACTTTGAGGGGCCCTCAACAAGCATTAGAGTGCCTCAGCGCATGAAATAATGCATCTGCACAACAATGCATAGTGCATTTACACCTGTGTACTGTATTTTGTTAGGCCTCATTCACAGGTAGCAATTACACCTGTGTCTTGTGCAGGGCCATGTTTTACCAACATGAAGAGGCAGTGTTCCATTTTTCTCTGGCCCAGAACTCACCCACACAGATGCTGTGTTGGGACATAGCGGCTGTGTCTGTGCAGCCACCGTATCCCAGTAGACATGAATAGGACTGCTCACATGGGGATGCAGAGAACCCCTGTGTATCCCCACGTGGGTGAAAACGGCTTTGCATGGGGCATAGATGTAACTGCCCCATATGAACAAGGCCTAACACACATAACGTGATGTGCTCTGTAGAAAAAAAATAGTGAATTTTAAACATGCATTACATCTGGTATAGATTTGAATCCAAATAATATCTAAACTAAAAATTTTAATTACGTTAAAAAAAGTAAACCTAATCCTTAGAACTAACTTTTTAACCTAAAACTGAAAATGATTCCTCAGCAGCTAACCCTAAACCTTTACTGAACCCTACATAACACCGAACCTTCGCCCTTATCTAACCCAACCCTTTTCTGTATCGTTAACCACTTTACTGAAGCCTTAAACTTGACTTACTAAAATGTGACTGTAAGCCTAACATATTTAAAAACTCGACTCTAGCCAATATTTATTTTTTCAGTGCAGCTAGAATGGAGAAGGTTTGGAACCTCCTTTGGGCTTTTGGTGTTGTTAATGGAGCGGTTGTGTTAAGGGCCCATTTTAGAAATGTTTAGGGATCATTTTTGGAGATGGTGCTAGAGGGGTGCTTTAGTGTAGGACAAAATGTTGACCAGTTATATTATTCATGTTGGTACTTCTGTAAGCTGCCTCACTCCAGTACCAAAGAAGTTACTTCCTGTTCTGTCCAATCCAATAGACATGAAATGGTAAAAAGATTTCCCAAACGGACAGAGCAAGCAATAGAAAATTGACAGACGTTCTTTTATTCAATAGGGCTTTCAGCGATAGATTATAACCACCTGCTTACTTTGCATTAAACTTAAATAAAACTCAATAAAAATGCATTAAACTAAAAACACATTGACACATCTCTAACCTTTCCCTGCTTTGTCCAAAACCTCATGGTTTTTTTTTTTCCTGTTTGTGTTCTTAGCTGTGGAGACTCACTCTCTCTGTTCTATAAGATCATTGTCACGAGAAAGAAAATTAAGGAAAAACTAAAATTTAAGAATGATAACCCAGAGCAAGAGGTGGGGAAAATCCTCCAATGTGAACAACATGTTCACATTGGAACAACAGTCTAAGGAGAGATTTACGCTCATTCCTCTGGTATCTCCAGGACAGGAAGTGAAGGGACACCTCGCAGGCAGCAAAAAATAATCTTACAGGGTTTAATTCCTTCGCTAATCTCTAATTACCCTAAAAAAAGATAAAAGTTTTAGCTAAAAATTCACATTAACGACATAATTGAGAGTAACTTTCCCAATCACAAATATTGTTTAGGTACATCCCTTGTTCTGAAAGCATGAACACCAGAAGCGAATTCTCACTCAGTGATAAACACATGGGATGAAACAGCAATGCTGGAACTATAGATTTGGCATAGCCGTATATATCAAGTTTTACTGGATGTTATTTTTTGAGGAACCAGGTAAAGTGGAAAACCACATTTAACTAAGCTTGATCCCTTTCTCAAGAAAATAAAAAATATTTATCTTTTTAGATAAAATATGTAATGGGGCTGATTATTCTAAAACACATTAGTAATGCCAGTTAGAGAACAAAATCCAACATTTGTCCCAGATTTTAGATGTCAATCTCTACGGTACACAAAAAGTGTAAACCTAAAATTTGATTAGTTACCATGAAAAACAACACCCACTTTTCTTTGAACCAGTCCTCTTCAGCCAGCCTTGGTAATGCTTAAGAAAAAACACCAATGCAATATGTGCACCAGTCTAATGTATAGCTTTTCTTTTAAGCAAGACAGAGAGATACAATTTTAATAAATGAAACCCCCATTGTTCCATTTGTTTGCTGTGTTTTGCAAGTTTTGTTTTAATAATCAAACTTCAGATAAAATTACTAAAAGTGAAATTCACAGACAAGAAATACTTTAATTAAATATTGTGTAAAATGAACATTTTATACAGTTAAATATCTGAAAAAATGTACAGATAAAACAATCTTATTGTAGGGTTTTTAACAGTAAAATCTACCATTTAGTGAAGCGTTCAGTCGGGAGACAATGTAGCAATGTGAGCATTAACTAACTAATCTAGAACACAAACAGATTCCATTTATGAAATAACTTGCAAATGGTTTTTAACATGTACACATGACCTCTTTTTTTTTTTCTTTATATGAACCTTTCCTATACAAAATAAAAATGAGGCTTTTCATGTTTTAAAAGTGTCTAGGTGTTCCCACTTAGTGAAGCCTTTTTGGCTTTCACAACATAAATGTGCAAGGCATTTAAAATGTTGTTATAACATAGCTTTCACTATTTTAAAACACATTTAATATGCATTTTGCCTAAAAGGAACCTAAATGTCTCTCCTTTTTGTTTATAAATGTAATTCTGCTGCAGTTTGCAAAAGTGTACTGCAAAGCTGTTCAGCAATGCATTTAGTGCAAAGAAAAAAAAAAATAACCATTCCATCACCTCTAGAAACTATGATTTTGGCACTAATAAGTAACATTTACCAAGGAGGTCATCCCAATTTAAAAAGACTTTGCTACTGGGTCTCGCTACAAAATATTTCTCTTTAAAATATATAAAAAATTGTGTATTATTATGAATTTGTATGAAACCTATTAAACAGTGCATGGTTTAGGAAACTGCAGAGTGCAGCAGAAGATAGATGCAAAAAAGAGTGACATAGTTGTATACCAGGATTGTGCTTTCTTTCAATTTATTTATAGTTTTACACCACAAATCATCCTAATGACCATGGTGATTAGAAACTGTGGTGTAATCCTGTGAATACAATAGCACAAAATATTTGTTTTAAATAAAATAATTTTAAGGCATCAGAGAAATTAATGTGGCAATTTTTTAATCAAAATATCAGATGAGAAATTAAAGTCAAAATTTAGGCCTCTGTAATTTGTCCAGTAAGCACAGTTTATCTATGTGGCAAGTCATATGAGTGGCAGCAAAAATGACTTTTACATTCTATAAAAAATTAAAAAAAAAAAAAAAGAAATAAAATAAACATACAGCCACAAACTCAGTTGTATTTGTGGCTGGATATCATGCACATTTTCTACTAATATTAATTACAGCCATGTGGCACAATTTTGTTTTTGACTATACAACAAACAACTTTTATTCAAAAATCATTTGTTCAGATAACTTAAAAATAATATAAAAATAAAGAATGAATTTGACTTTTCCCTCAAAATAAAAAAAGGATGGAAAGTCTAAACAATAGCACATTTTAAGTACAAATGAAATGTATAGACACCATAATTCATAAAAAAAAATAAAAACAAAAAACACATACAGTATGAAGGCAACCTTTCTTGGCGCAATGCTGATTTTTCAGCATGTCAACACCCGCCCAAAACAAAAATACATACATACTTACATACGTACATGGACAAAAAAAAAACAATGGAAAGCAATATACAAAATTTCAAAGATAAATACAATATTTATAATTGATATGTTACAAAATAAATTCCCTTAGTGACTGCAAGTGTTCATGTGAAAGAAAGTGTCTGAGATATAAGTAGACCATTTTATTCCTTATCAAACTGAATAAGGAATAAAATATGCTTTCTAATATTTTAAGTGGATCGAAAAAAAAAATTCAAGACAAGTGTATAAATATTTAGCTACAACTTTGGCAAAATCACAAAAGTCTACAATTTTATAACCACATACAAAACACATTAGGGAATAAGGATCTAGAAGTCAAAAGGACAATTTTCTGGTACAAGAAACATAGACTTCACAGTAGCCTAAGAATGCAATAGTATACAGTGCGAGCAAGAAGTTGAAAAAAATGTTGCAGGTCACACTTGCTTTACAGGAAGCTCTAGCAGTGGAAGTATATTTGAACCAACAGACAGTAGCATTTTCCTCTGTCAGTGTGCTTGTTGAAGGCAAAGAGATTTCAATATCAAAGTTACAGTTCCTAACTACAATAAGTTACAAAGTTCCATTTCATTAAGATGAAGTTAAGCAATGATAAACCCTCTTCCCGCCCAAGTTCCCCCAATTTAAATGATTCATATATTTATTTTTTTCCAGTTTGATGGCTCAAACCTCCTTGGCCCCCTTTTTCACCACAAAAAAATATTTCACATTATAGAGATACACAACCATTGTGAGTCTAGTAATGAGTAAGGAAAAATGTTCTGAGGCATTTTTCATCAGTGTTTCATGATAAATCAGAACGGTGCATCCACAACGCTTTGTCCCAACACATAGCAAGTACTAGACATAGCCAAGACGTAATCAGAAACTTTGTACAAAATAGGCGTCGATTTTCCCCATCTTCTTCAGGAGTGAGAAACTTGAAAAATATGAGAAAAAGTTCAGTCGACAAAATGGAATTGTTCATGGAGAAGTCGCTCATTTGCATGTCGATTTCTACTAGTCCAAATAAAATCTTTGAAAAGAAAGAGTTTGTAGCATTTTGCTTCTTGATGATTTTGTTCTGAAGAGACTGGTTTCCATCAGTACTCCTTAATACACTAAATGTGTCCCCTGAAGCTTTCTTCTGAAGCTTGATGCTACAAGCAAGTAGACAAAAGTGACTTTTTACATTGGTGGAACTACAAGACCGGACATAGCTAGAAAAAAAAGAAATGAGATTACATTAGCTTTAAAACCTACATGTTCTCCTTTTTTTACTGACTGACCTAAAGACTTTTTGTTGCTATTAAAAATAAATTTTCACGTGCAATTAATTTTTGGGATGTTTACAGTAAACTTTCTAATCTCTCTATATTTTATAGAAAACAAATTTTTCAAGTATTTATTTTTTTTTTATTTTTTTTTACATACAGTTGCTATTTTGCTTCTTTCAATTTTGTGTGTTGCTGGAATATTGCATCTGCTACTTCCCTGTCCACTTCCTAGTATTAAAGGTACAGCAAAATGTGAACATGTCAGAATTGTAAAAGAAATAATGGCTTTCAATTGAAAGCATTTTGGTAATATATTGAAACAAATAGTGTGCTTTGTCTAGATGCTTTTAAATAAATTCTATTTTTCAAAATAACTAGGGGAAGCTGAATAAAAAAAAAGTAACAAAAGAGGACATTTAAGCAAGAAGAGGGTTTCTGACATTTTGGTGCAAAATATCCTGCCTCCCACATATGATATTTCTCTTAGTGTTTTGCTAATAGCAAACAGTGGTCCAGACTCCCTAGAGACTGGCCATGTTGACAGCTGAAAAACAACATGGTCACTTCTGGTAATGTCAGATGAAGCCAACTCACTCACCAGCTCAGTACCAGACATTTCTCTAGTTCTAAATTAAAATCTTATGAGCCAGGGTTTGTCTTTATTTTTTACTGCTTTGGCCTATTGGGAAAACCTGAATTGTGAAATATATATATATATATTTATTTTATTATTTTTTTTTTTAACATGCAGAATTATTTTAATAGATGGTTCCGATCAAGCACTGGAGGAGAAAAAGTACTAAATTAAAAAAAAAAAAGGAAAGAAAATTAAATTTGAGTTTGTGCCATTTCTTTCATTAAAATGTATTTTTTCTCCTCACTAATTTATGTGTAACACTAATAAATTTTCTTATGTAGTGATCTAAGCTTCAATTTCTCAGTTCATTAATCCCAACAATATTAATTTGTTTTAGGCGCAGTGTTACAAGTTTATGACTGTGAAGACTTATGTCTTGTGAGTATATTGTACAGATCTACTGTAACATTGAGGAGGAAAATAATTATTATATTGTGTGTAATGGTTTTGCACGCATCTCGATTATTATTAAAAAACATTCAACTTATATAAACTTCAAGACTGCTTTAAGTGTTTATTAATACAAGCAGCACAGCTTATGCAGTGATTAGACAATGCTGAGAGATTCATTGACGTCTCAGCAGTTCAACCAGTTAAATGTAGGTCAGGGCTTGGAAGTAAGATTTGAGAGGAGAACATGTTCTAGTTAAGCCTTCAAAGTGTATCCAACTGATGGAAACACCTGATAGCGCATCATCTCTACAGCTCATTAGCAATATATATATTCAAACTCAAAAGTACATATCAGTTTCTTAATGGTTACCCATCTGTTTTATAACTATGTTTTCAAAACTAATCCCAGGTTTTGTGATTTTAAAAAAAGTAGGAATAATGCAAGCTAACGTATGTCATTGTACAAGCAGCATTTATCTACATTTCCACAGTTTAGTGTAGGATCTCTCATTGTGTGCAATAGGTTACTGAATATCATTGTTCATTTTGCAGTTTTCATTATTTACACATATTTATACAATGTGCCATCACAATAAGCATATTCTAGTTAACTTGTTAGAGAATCTGTACAAATGGCATTGCAAACAGTCACTTACAGCTCCTGTCTCCACTGCAGGGTCCATAATCAGAGTGGTCATCTTAAGTGATGACTGGGGAAGGCAAGCTCCCGGTGTTATTGAACAGGAGCCAATTACCTCCCCTGTCCTCACATGTCTCCAGCCCTGAGTACCTCCTGATTAGAAGGATTGGAGGTGAAAGGCTGGAGGGTTTTGCTGACCACCTGGTATCCCTTGCAGGTGCCCATGTACACAAGCCATCTACTACAGAGTCTCTTTCAAGCAAACCTGTCATGAGAGAAATAGGCAAGCTACCATTGTTCTAGGTTACAGACTCAAAGTATGGAAACCAAAGGATCCTCATGACATCCATGCAATTACCACTTTCAGAAGATCAGCAATAGCAGTTACCATATATTTCTCAAGACAGACATCCTTTAAAGGTTGAAGGTAGGTACATGGTAAGGATTCATGCAATCTATAATACATATTTCTATTGTAAGTACTTAAATATAGTACACCTTTAATCGTACATACATTTCGAATCATGAAGTCTCTGGTGTTTTGTGCCATTCTCAAAGCAAACGCCAAATGGAAAAACGATAGAGATGCCACCTCCCACACATGCAGTATACCCTCCCAAACCATCTTCCTCTCCAGATTCTACATTTAAAACATATTTGAGAAAATAACACATCTTGAGATTTTCAATCATTCTAAATTACATTTAGAATTAAATTTATTCAAAGACAGAAGTCCGATTAGATGGCTTAGTAATAATCAATTAGTTGATAAATAAAATCCAGTAATATCTTTATAGTAGACTTTGCCTACAAACTTTTGGAGTTTTGCCATATATAAAAATATATATACACATTGATTACTTTTTTGTTTCTAATACAGTTTCTAATGTTTAACTTTAACTGAATTTTTTTTTGTTTTTATCTTATAATGTGTTCTCATTTCAACTGGAAGGAATGATGGATTTTGGTATATAAAAAAATAAATCAACAGTAAACGACTATCTTATTGCACGATTAAAAATGAAAATGTCTCACATTATGCGGCACTTGTTCTAGCTTTATCAATTTCAAGATTTTGGGAATGTGGGAGTGTAATACATGTCTGAAAAATAAGAAAATATTTGATAGCATATACTATAACCTATGGCATTAAATAATATATCTAATGTCTGGGAACGATTATTTTACAGTACAATTCTATTTTACTATAAGGACAATGCAGACATTGTGATGTGAAGTTGTGTATGCCATAGAGACATGTGGTAGATGTATTCAGTGTTCTGTCACTCATTGGCATAGCTGAGAGAGTCCCCATATGAAACCTCTTTAAAAGATTATTATCCCTTTTCAGAATGAATGGGGCTAAGACATCAATGATAAATAGTAATGGGGAACTGCTTTATAAGGTTTAGGGTTTGATATTCACCCTAGAATTCTTTCACAACTATAACATTAATAAAAAATAGAAAAATTCCGTGCATGGGTGTGAACACACACAAAGAAAGCAAAAAGTAGCTAGCTCTAAGGATTATGATACCAACCCTGAAAACATTAATAGAACAAAAAGTGCAGCACTGTAAGTGACAAAATACATATAGATTTATATGATCACTTTTATAATGATTTATATTTATATGATCACTGTTATAGTGATTTATATGTATTTTGTCACTTATAGCATTACAGCACTAATATTGAAAACAATTTTGCAGCCAATTTGCGTTAAGGGTAGCAAAACTTTCTTTTTAGGCCAGATCCAGACAGTAGAAGAACTTAAAAACCCTTGGGGCTAATCTGTATTCCTCTAGAACAGGGAAAATGTATTGGACTAAAACAAAGTAAAGTTAAAGTGTTGATCATCACAACCAACCACTGTGCTCTATTTTTCTAAAGTCAATGAGATCTAGATTCTGGTTTGTTTCGAATGAGCAGCCTTTTAATTTTCTTTGCCCCCTTGTTTTTTTTTAAATAAATTGTTATTTTTAAGGTTCAGTGAAACTGTAATTTGTCTGTGAAAACACATATTCTATCACTAGAGCTAATGCACATGCTATTTTTAAAACAAACCCAACTCACCTTGAAGTCCATTGCCATTTGCACTGGTGCAGGATGGTGGAGGGGAAGCTTGGGGCCTGACGACTGGGGCAAATGCGCTCTTTTGTTTCACTGCGGAGATGACATTTGCAGGTGAGAATGAGAAAATGCCGTGTGTACTGCTACAGTTTGAAGGGAGGGTGACCGAAGAGGCTGCCATTGTAGGACTTGATGGTACTACTGCAATAAAGCAAAAATAATCAGGACTCAAAAAGGAGGTTTTTTTTTTTAACCCCATGGCAGAACATAAAGAGAGAGTGATGCAGCCTTTGTTTTATGTTTGGGAATAAAAATAACTAAAATAAAATAGCCAAACTAATAAAAAAATAACTATGATGGCATGGCCACTTTCAGTAAAGAATCTGGGGGTCTATGTACTGAGAACGTTGGGAGGTACCTGATCTCAGTATTGTCTACATTTGGGTCAGGCCAAACAAAATGTAAAGCCTATGCATGCCCTGTGTCATGAACATGTGTCTGTAAGATGATCCAAAGGGGCCGTCTTCATTTTGTGTCTTTACTCATTTATGATTTCTTCACCCTGCTCTAGGTTTCCATTATTTTTTTCTTGGTTACGTTCTCTTTTGAAACAGTTGCACGTCTTCCTTTGATAATAGTGGTGGCCCCCATATGCCAAATATCCTTCCACCCCAAATTACTAATCTTGACAAAGGTTATATAGGCCAGAAAATACATCTCTCTTTTAATCTGTTCTCCCCCTTCAGAGTCCAGTTTAAAGATCCCATCCGCAAAGTATGTGACTGATCCATGCTGCCTGATATTGTAGACCAATTGAAAGAGAGGAGAAAAATTTAAAAGAGAACGGCACTCGGGTTGGCAGGACTGTAGTCCAGATCACTTAATGGTTTTAAAAAGCTGCCAACCGAGTGCAGTTCTCTTTAAAATTTTTCTCCCTCTACTTGGTAAATGTTCTTCTTCATATTGTACTGAGCCTATTCCTGCCCCCAGTGCTGTCACACCTTGATAAGTTTACATGGTATAACTAAAAAGCTATAAAGACAGCCTATCACAAAACACCAGGGAGAAAGTGTTCTGCCAAAGGTACTCTAGGTTTTTCCTAGGACAACCTGTTCCTTTCATAATTTAAGCAAAATTGAATTGATGAATTTGCATATGAGTGGAGAAAACCATTGGGTACATCGTCTTATGGCCTGAGAAATGGCAAACCTTAATCATGAGCATCTGACTGTTGTGTGCTTACATTATTGTGAGTATGGTTTATCTACAGAAATGCTCTTTTTATCTATGAACACACATATTCACCTAAAGAAAACCACTTTGGGTCAGTAGGATAGGTTCATCAACTGTTTGCCATGGCAATGATGTACTCTTTTTTTATTTTCCTTTAGATCCTTAAAATTGACAGGGGATAAATCACGATATAGGATAATGGATCCTACCCGATATTTATAAGTGTATATTCACTAAGTCTACAAATACAGTAATAGGTCATGTCACGTCATAATCTTTAGCTGCTTAAACACCACAGCACTTTTATAATAAATATTGAGCTGCTTAAATACCACAGCACTCTTATAACAAATAAAAATATGATAATTGTATGGAACTCTTGAATAAAGACCACATTTGTTTAACAGGAATATGATTGTATGTATGAACCACACTATTCATGTCAGATTGTTGTGGGCCATACAGTAATATTTTTAACTGCTTTTATGTTCAGCCTCCAGTCACCCATCCCTTTGTCCAGTAACTGATAGCAAAACAAAATCTAATACATTAAAATATACAGACAAGCAAGAAAATAGGAAAATTCAAAAGAATGTTCAAAAACACTCACTGCCATAGGGGGAGTTGGCAGATGAACCATTGAGGAAGCCAGGTGACCCAGGGACTCCTAAATTGGGCATTCCAGCATTCCCGTACCCATTCATGCTATTGCTGACTGTGTTGTAGTTGGATTGCTGGGGGGTACTACTGGGAACATATCCTCGTGGCGATACACTGCTTGTGTTACGGCTGTAGCCTACTGGAAGAAATGAAAGCCCCACAAAAAAAACAAGCAAGATAATGTTACCCTCATTTATAAAAGACACTTTGGCTTTTTTCTGCACAAATCCACATCACACACTACACAGATTTATTGATTACGTTGCGTTACTTCACAATACCTCTTACTGGTCCTTTTAACAGTTGCAGTTTAAGATAACCTTATCACATCGACCCTACTTAAATCATCTACGATGGCACACTATGTTGTTCCCTCACAGGCTGAGACAGCCAACAAAAGCCGTCTTCGATCTAATTGTGTCAGCTTCCCTCACATTTATCCTTACTAGCAATTATCAACAGGCTTGATTCCTGGTTTGTACCAACACAGAAGATGAACTTTCAGCCTTTTCAGACCTTCAAATGCCACCAGTGACAGGCAACAACTTGTTTGTTACACTGATTTCATCTTAAAAGGCTGTTTTTTAAAAGGCGGGGTAGTGTTGCGCATCTAATGGGCTATATTCGGATGTTTAATACTCTTTATGTTGTTACCTTTGCAGCTACTACCCTACAAGACTGAGAAAACTAATTACCACTTCTCAAATGTCAAAACAACATCTACAAATATACTTGCACTATTCAGCAGCAAACTGATAATATAATGGTAACATGCTTTGTAGCAATGGTGAGAACGCTAAGCTTCTTGTCTGATGGGGATACATGTTAACAGATGAGAGTTTAGGATCAACATAAAGAAGGAGATTACATCAAACAATATAAATATATATTATCTAAGCACTGTGTGCAGCATCTGGAGTTAGGTGTGGCATAGTCACCTACCTTGGTCATTAGCTTGAGATGTTTCTGAAACATTAACTGCTAGCTGGCTGCTGAAAGAATTTACTCCCATCATTCCGCTGTGAGATGGTGTGTTGGCAAGTGAGGGGATCTGGTTGTGATTGCGTGGCACACTGTATAATGCTTCAGCAATGTCAGCTGCTCGCTTCAGGATTATTTCCTACACAGCAAGAAACACAAAGACAAGGTTACCATATGATACAGTTTTGTCTCAACAGCCATCAAAAAACTGTCCTAGATTGGAATCATAGCCATGGGAGTGGATAAAATACTTGTCCAGTGATTTGTGTTGCCTATTGAAAAGTGCTCAGGAATTTCTACACAGCAGCAATCTTAACCTTAGGCTAAGTAGGCACAGCATGTTTCAAACTAACTGTGTGTTATAGGTGTATACTCCCTACTCAGCATTTTCAGGCACATGTAGGAGTATATTTGTGATCAAGGAACTGTTTAAAGCTCATTAATTGTAAAACTGGCCGTTATGTATCAAAGTATGTGAAAGAAAAGTTTCACTAGTCACCCAGAGCAACCAAATTAATTTCTCAAGCAGGTTAAAATACACTATATAAAGTATTTGGACGCCTGCCTCTACACTCACATGAACTTTAATAGTACCCCAGTCTTATACCGTAGGGTCCAATATTGAGTTGGCCCACCCTTTGCAGCTTTAACAACTTTAACTCTTCTGGGAAGGCTGTCCACAAGGTTTAGGAGTGTGTCTATGGGAATGTTTGACCATTCTTCCAGAAGTACATTTGTGAGGTCAGGCACTGGTGTCGGAAAAGAAGGCCTGGCTCACAGTCTCGGCTCTAATTCATCCCAAAGGTGTTCTGTTGGGTTGAGGTCAGGACTGTACAGGCCAGTCAAGTTCCTCCATCCCAAACTCGCTCATCCATGTCTTTATGGACCTTGCTTTGTGCACTGGCGTGCAGTCATCTTGGACCAGGAAGGGATCATCCCCAAACTTTTCCCACAAAGTTTTGAGCATGAAATTGTCCAAAATGTCTTGGTATAACTGACGCTTTAAGAGTTCTCTTCAGTTGGACGAAGGGGCCAAGCCCAACCACTGAAAAACAACCCCACACCATTATCCCCCCTCCTCCACCAACTTTAAACATGGCACAATGTGGTCAGGCAAGTACCGTTCTCCTGGCAACTGCCAAACCCAGACATGTCCATCAGATTGCCAGACAGAGAAGCATGATTCATCACTCCAGAGAACACGTCTCCACTGCTTTAGAGTCCAGTGGCAGCATGCTTTACGCCACTGCATCCAACGCTTTGCATTGCACTTGGTGACGTAAGTCTTGGATGCAGCTGCTCATCCATGGAAACCCATTCCATGAAGCTCTCTACACACTCTTGTGTGTTAATCTGAAGGCCACATAAAGTTTGGAGGTCTTTAGCTATTGACTCTGCAGACAGTTGGCAACTTCCGCGCACTTCAGCATGCGCTGACCCTGCTCTGTCATTTTACGTGGCCTACCACTTCATGGCTCAATTGCTGTTGTTCCCAGTGGCTTACAATTTGTCATAATACCACTAACAGTTGACCGTGGAATATTTAGGAGCAAAGAAATTTCACAAATGGGCTTATTGCACAGGTGGTAACCTATCACTGTACCACGCTTGAATTCACTGAGCTCCTGAGAGCAACCCATTCTTTCACAAATATTTGTAGAACCAGTCTGCATGCCTAGGTGCTTGATTTTATACACCTGTGGCCATGGAGGTGATTGGAACACCTGAATCCAATGATTTGGAGGGTTGTCCCAATACTTTTGGCAATATAGTGTAAGTACAGAAAAATCTGAATGGTTGCTGCAGTAAACACAGATAGTTTTTTTTTTTTTTTTTGCAGAAATGTAGTCTTCCAGACACATTGAGAAACACGGTCTCCTCTGTTTCTTTGAATTTTCCAGGAGTTTGCAAAAAGATTCACAGCATTCACCACACTCTGCAATTTAGTGTAAATGCTCTTCTCGTAACATTTCTAATACACAGAAGTATACAACAGACGTTTTTCATGAAAGCTACAATAATTGTATAAGCTAATCCATCTCTTACTCAGGCATATGATTAATGGTAACTTTTACAGGTTTTTTGAATAGGTGTGCTTTAAAGAGTCACTCCCAGTCCGTGTTGAGATCTCTGAGGCCTAGTTCCTTGTTTTGATTACTTGCCACTTAAGGAGGTGTGGGTTGGTCATACACAGATGGTTCTTTCTTTACACTTTCTCATGGAAAGTGTCAGTAAGATTTTTTTTGCTCAAGCCTCTATGATTGATCGAATCCTCTATCACTTATGAACCGCAGAACTTTGACTTTTGGGTGAAATTACCCTTTGAAGACATCAGGACAGCAGGGCTGTGCGCTTTAAGAACTGGGCCCATTTGGTTACATAAAATTGACTAAATACATACAGTATACATGTGTTTTAAGGCAATGGCAATGAATGTTACAATTTAGTCAAATATTTTCTCTTCCCTGTGCTTGGCAGGTTTAGAACAGGCTTTCCTATTAGTCACTGTATATTTTGGACCAAGTTCAAGGTTACTCTCTCGTCTTAATGATTGCCTTTGCTTTTGGCACCTTACGCCTAATTGTCATTTCTGATAGGAAAACTAGCTCGGAGAATAAAAATGGCAAAGATGAGGGTTTTTTTTTTTTTTCATCCCTTTCTCTCTTTTTCCCCTTGGTGATGCTCATCACATTACATTGCCCTTAAGGTGACTGGCAAACCCGTACACGGCAAATAGGATTGTATTGATATTTTGCCAGGTTCACTCACAGTAGTTACTAAATTGCATAATTTTGAATGGATTTTGCTACGTGCATTAATGACTTGCCTGGTTGTTGTGTGGCATTCCGTATAAGGCTTCAACGAGGTCTGCTGCTCTCTTCAGTAATACTTCCTGTGGGCAAGACACAAGAGGAAGAGGGGTTGGTTTTATTGTTTAAAGGTAGCCAGGGCTAAAATCATAACATAACAGCAAATTTAAAAGCAGGGCTGCCAAAACGTCAAACAAGTCCAAACAATACGTCAAGGTTTTTACATCGAAACTTCAGCTAGGTATTACAGATAGGAAAGATGTAAACTTTTGATGAGAGTATGTCTTCAGAAAAATAAGTAAAGACTCCTACTGAAAACCTCTGGTTTAATTAAAAAGCAAGATATTTCTTTAAAAATCTGTTGTTGAAATTTTATTTAATATTCAATATACAATCATGTACCTGGTACTGTTAAAAACCTGTGTTTGCCCTCTACTACCTTAAAGCGGAGTTCCACTCACCCTGTCAAAAAAAAAAAAAAAAAAAAAGTCAGCAGCTACAAAAACTGTAGCTGCTGACTTTTAAAAAACAACCACTCACCTGTCCCTCGGTCCCGCGGTGTGTCCCCCGCAGCTCATTTCACCAGCCTTCCTGTATTCCAGGAGGCCGGAATCTTCAGTGTGGGCATCCGGCTGTGACAGCTTGCGGCTTCAAAGCCGGGTATCCACTGCGCATGCACGAGTAGCGCTGCACTTAATGAATGGTCCTGTAGTCTTCTGGGACCTGTCACGTGTCCCAAAAGAGTACAGCGAGGGAGGACACCTTCCGCTTCCGATCATCTAGGCGATCGGACCGGACGTCTGAGCGGGTACCTGTCAAATTCAGGTACCCACTCCCCCCCTGCCCCCCAAAGGTGCCAATCCTTAATGGGGAGCAGTCCTTAAAGTGGAAATTTCCCTTTTGGATGTAGCTCCGCTTTAAATACATCATATAGACTGACAACACAACACACACCGTTTCTACTGCATCATGGGATGTAATGTTTTTTTTTTCCCGTTTCAGAGTTGCTCAGCAGTTGCAGGGTCAGTTTATAAACCCTTCTACTCAGCAGATCAAAACTAAGTAACTTTGAATCAGGAAAAACAAAAAACTTACATCTAATGACCAATAAAATCCCTCGGAGTTTGGACAGCTCTTAAAGGAAAATTTGTTTTTCTTTTAATTTAACAATGGTGTAGTCCTTTAGCTATTTTATATGCAAAAAATGTTGGTCCTTTAACAATCCGAATTTTAGAATCCTCCTATCTGGTTGTGATCATCTGAAATAGACACATGGCATGGAATCATGTCACTGTAGTGATGAATGAAGAAAATAACGCCAAAGATTTAATAATGACGTTTTGCAGGTATAAAACAAACAAATACATGACAGAGATATGAAAAGCACAGGCACTTGTTAATTCCTAGCACTTTAGTGGTGAAGAACAATAAGTAATTTTCCATATCTTAATTAAATTGGCAAACTCCTTAAAGACAACATCTCACCTCTAATTCATGCCCGGAATTTGCCAGCGAGTTCAATGCTTATTCCTCTTTATTTTGAACAATAAAGTGAATTAGCTTGGGTTAATCTAGTTTTTTCATAATGACATTAAGAAATTTTTCAATTAACCTCTTTGACTGTGCGCTATAAAGGACTTCATAAATGAATTCCCATTCAGAGAGTAGAGTGCTTTTGCCTAAGGGTAGAGATGCATTGAGTTTGTCTTATCCGTGCCTGCATGCATACCTCCACTTTACGATGGTTGGGATTAATCTCTAGTTTACTTAATTTTTACAAGGAATCTCTTCTGTTTGACTTCTCTTCCCCTTAGAGAATGCTGCCATCATCTAAAAACATTTATTCAATGTTATAAAAGAGCTGCTTTCGCTCCATGGTGTCTATTTATAGCCTGGGTGACCACTTTCATTCTACAGGAATTATACATCTGGAAGATTTGAATGATCATTCAGATATTTGAATTGAATACAAGCAGCTGCAAAAAAAAGTTTTCCAAAAGGAGGAAAAACTTTTGGGCAATGTAATTTTTTACATGGCAGGCCTGAAAGTGAATGCCCAACTTCAATTTTTTTTTTCTTAAGTCCGCAAACGTGCAGCTAAACGAAAAACCCGAAGTGTTCACAAAAAATGTGCAAGTGCAAAACACCACACGAAAAGTGCACTTAGGGGTGTGGTTTGTCCTTCCCCCCCAAAGGGGATGGACCACTACCCTGATCCCCCGGGGCACGAAGCTCCTGACAGGGACAAGGTTCCCATTTGGTCCTCTTGGCCAAAAGGCCTGGTGGACCACCGTTCCTTGTTTCCAGCCGAAGTGAATGCCCAACTTCAATGTTTAAGGCAAGCACAAGGCATTTGCCAAGCTAGAAAACCTACCCAAAGACAGAACTGGTTAAACCTAGGGGCCTATTCACACCTAAGCATTGTGGAGAGACACTTTTATTGGCACTTTGGTAAATGCTGTGGTACATGCATCGCAGTGCCATTTATTTTGAATGGCACCCTAACCTATTAATACAAAACAGATGCTTTGCAGT